ACTCACTCAGGTTTCGAAACTGTAAGTCGCCGCAAGATTGGCAGAAAGCTCATCACTTGATTTCGTGTGATATGTAAATCAATCAGAAACGCGCTTATCAACAGTGATGGGAGCTAAAGGAAGCACTGGTAACAAAAGCGGACAACGGAAAGAGCCAATGAGGAACATGCATAGAATCAAAGGATTTATTTAGTAACAAAAAGCAGGGTGTGCTTGCTAAGAAAAGGAAACATAGGAGCTGAGTCATAATAAACATTTCTATAAGTATTTGATGGATCCCAGATTTCACTGAAGCAGCCACACAGTCATATAATATCTACCTAAAACAATTAGCAGAGTTGATTGATCAGACAGNCAGATAAAATACAGTAACAAACCCACTACTATGAGATTTCTATGCCTATTGAAAATAGGCCAAAGCAATGCTAGTCCACTATATGGGTCAGCTAATTACCACACCTATTGTCAGTTTATAAACACTTAAATTAAAAGGGAGGCAACTGAATAGTTTTAAATTTTGCTCGTTTGTTTATTATCCCAACAAATGAAGTAACCTCCCATAATCAGGGCAAGAGATGACAACTGCCAGAGCATAGCATTTCAAAACGCATGAAGCTGGAGGACTCGGAGCTACTGTGTTCTCAGCTCATTATGACGTAAAATGGGTTGCACTGGTTTTGTTGTGAACGAGTGAGCCGGATGTTAATCCACCACTTAGACTGAATAGTTAGTAAAATTCTCTCATAAAGTATTTGTCAGTCAAAACAATATCAAAGACACGAATGTTATTTTCGGGAAAGATTTAGTTGCATTAAGATGTTTTTCCAGTTTAAGTTTATTTCACACGAGAAAGCGATTTTTTATATCACCCAAAAAGTAGCAGTCATGCACCTTCGAAATTTTGTCCCCTGTTTCAGATTGATTTGACAGGGAGGATATAAATCATTTCTACAACAGTTCTGCCTTGGACATAAGATGGACACCTCGTGGGTTCTCAAGAGAGCACGCGATACTAACCGATTCTGCGGTTACAAACGTCTATCAGTATTTCGTGTTTTGAATAAATATCTCGTTAACTAAAGGAACATTCGAACGGATTTATCATAGGTTTTCTGTTCTCACCACAGGATTATTCTACGGGGCACGATATGAGGAATCTGGCAATTCCAATTTTTTTATGAAATCTGATCCATTGTGTCATGCTTTATAATAAAAATAATCGATATTTACAACAAGTGACAGAAATGTTAAATTAACCACTGACTACCAGACCCCCCAATTGGTGAAATTACATTTGACCAACAAAGTGATGGAAAAACTAAATTTGATACACTTCTAAAACCTATTTATCTTTAATAAGCACTCGTTTACCAAGAATAAGTTTCATGGATTTCAGCAAAAGTCGAGAATTCAAATCCTATAATCTACGATGCAGACTTTGGTGTTAGAATATCATAATCCAGGACTATAGGTTGAGGCATAATAAGATAAATTTTCTATCAAATAATTCAAGCACTAAAAGGCTGAATTTCCAAATATACGAAACACCACAGAGAAAAACCGCAATAATTTCCCCGATTTTGTAGTAACGGCAGAATATAATGTGTTTTAAAGACCCCTCAACTTTGCCAACTTACCGGACGAGAAAACTAAATCACCATTATCAAAACTAACAACCCAATCTTCTAGAATAACTTTCGAGCGCAAACTGTTTAGAGAGGTTGTACAGTTTGAGACCTCAAAAAGCGATAGGTAGTCATCTTTTTAAGCTCTCTGCCAGTTAAATCCACCTTCCTTGTCTCTGACTGAATTTAATCCCAGAAGAAGGAAATCAAATCAACTGACAGTCTGAAAGTAAACAGAAATTTAGCATAATTTATGGTATTATCTGTAAGCAGTAGCACAAATCCTGAAGTCTTGGAGGAATAAGATAACTCACAAAGGGATAAATCAATAAAGAGGATCATTCGCAAAACCGTTTTTGTACATAAACCACAGGATACAATGTGAATAATGATGGAACACTAGTAGGCGTAGCCCAATTCCACTCATCTCGCCTCCATGCAGTGCGAGAGGCAAATAGTTTCCACTTCAAGGCAGTAAACATTCATCAACCAGTCAACCCCTGGACAGTATAGATAAGAAAACTTTGACCAGTTCCTTAAAGCAGAGTAAAATCAAGCCTTTTTAAATACTGACATTCTGATTTATTCCGTCAGTGACTGCTGTCTGGTATTCTCACAAAATAGATTTTATCAAGGAAACTGTGAATCGATAGACAGTACCGAGAGAAAAATGAAGTCCAACCAGGTAAAAGTTGTATGCTTACCGTTGTGTTAAAGATAACAAAGATAACAATCCACGGATCTTGTTGCCAATCACAGCAGAGGATATCTTACGCCATGTCGACAAAGTAACTAAGGGCTGTTCATAATGAATCTTCATTTGCACAGTTTATCTTGGTCTCAATATCAAAGATCCTTGACAGTGGCGACGGTATTACATCGAATGAAAGTGTTTTAAGTATAAGTGTGAATTCAAAGCATTGCCAGGTGGCATAAATTGAAAGAGGAGTACTGTTGTCTGCAAATGCAGTTTGCGAACATGCCTCATGCAGTTCAAACGGAACAGTATACGTTCTTCTGCTTTCGCTGGCTCGCGGTACAAGAAAGCCACTACAGATTAAGTAACAGTGGGCGAAGAGAACAAACAGATATTGTCAAAGTCCAGCGAACCAGCCGTGTATTCTTTTCAGCTCCTGTTCCAACCAACAAACCTGAAATTTAAGTTCTTTTGAAAATAATCCAAGTGACATTCACTCTACCGAGGACAGTAATAAACACAAACTGTTGTAACCAATTTTGTGCCACACGTTTTTTTAAACATCTCTCGTGTCCAAAAGCACATGTAGAAAGTACGCTCAGGCTTATTCTTAAGGAGTCACAGATCTAATATCCCCCTTATTCTGTGTTTTTACCTGTCCTGTAGTACCATCGCCAGGAACAAAAGTCTTTCATGGCCGTGGCGCTGGACACAGATCAACAGGCGTATCACAACTATTGCAACACATTGCTCTACTTCAATTCGGCATTCACAGTGATGTTTTCTATCGAATGTGTGCTCAAAATTATGGCTTTTGGACCAAAAGTAAGAACGCCAACTTGCCCCCAAGATAATTATTGTTTTAATCGCTGGTCTGCGATGACTGAAAATAACTGTCTACAAAACGATACTGTTTTGTTTCCGTTTTCTTCCAGAATTATTTCCGTGACAGATGGAATATTTTTGACTTCATCACGGTGATTGGCAGCATAACGGACGTATTAGTTTCCGAACTGCAGGTATGTTTTAATTCAGATTACCGAATGTCCATTTTTTGTCGGAACAGGTTTAAATTCCGTTCTTGCTCTAAGCTGTCGCTGTTTTGAACTGAGCTATAAAGATCAAGCTATCGAGTGGACCGACAATTACCATTTTACTTCCTTTTATTGAGTGTACGAAGATACAATTTTCAGGAAGGGAGAAGCGGCTGATGAAAGGGCTGCCATATAANATAATACACATAACGGGGAAAGACAGGCGGTAGTATTAGGATTCGAATACACGTCCTACGGGGTGATAACTAGTGAAGTTACCACCAGACCACCGCCGCCCAATGAAATGCTTGACCAAGTTCAAAGGCGTGTTTTTCATATACGTATAAAGTAGTTATATAACATAACTGGCATTAGTGTTGCTTTAATGATGTAGGCAAAAATGTTAAATATTTAAACCTAATCGCATAAGTGGGTGGGTAATACGTACATTGAAGATTAATTTATGTAGAATTATGATGAAAAGAAGCTGAATTAAGCTGACATGGAATCAATTGACTGATTATATCATCGAGATAGGGAACCTGTCATTATGCTAAATTTAAGAATTGAATAAAACAGTGGGATATAATACGCGTTCGAGTGTGCTGTGCCTCTATTACCTATAGTATACAAATAATTGGCCTTTTTTGACATAGCAAATTTTTCAATTTCTTTCACTTATCAGGATAACCAGGAATACTGTTACATTATCCGTTGCAGTTTTCCTTTTTTAATGTATTGGCTTGTCAGCCTGACTCCTCACACTAAATCCATAGGAGAGAGACCGGCATTCAAGCTTCACGCACTCAATCCAAACATTCTTCAGAACAGAAGCAATCTAGTTAGTCTGACATGATACAATGAAAGCTGCCATTGAGTGAAATCTTAGGCCAAGGGAAATAAAAACCGGCTTGTAAGTAACAGGTGAAGATTATGCAATTATTTGTGCAGTGCGGCTTAAGGTAAAAGTCTGCAAAACAGGCTCCGTTATCCGCATTAAATTCGAGGTAGTCAGGCGGGTATTTTTTAAAATATACTATAAACTCATTCAACGTAATTACGACTTGTATTAAAAGACCACAATATTTTCTGATTTAAATTAATATACAATTTTATTTTACTCCGTTGAACATTTGTGAATAAGTATAAGGTATCTTATGGAACCAAAAATTTCTTTTATACGGTTATTTTAAAACCCCGATTCGGATAAATCTATTTATTACTTCATTTTCTCTTTCCAAATAAAAACAAAATGTTTCGAATTTTGAAAATTGAATGCTCACAATGATAAATATAAAGGGAAGGCATTTTTGAGAGAACAACTACTATTGCTAAATCTAAAAGATACACAAAGAAAACAAACTGTGGTGATTTCCAATAAAAACATTAGGCAGATTATTCTAGCTTTTGAACCATAGAGGTTGCCGCCAGGACGGTGTTTCTTTTGCGGTGTGACACGTCCACTGCATTTAGTAAGAACACAAACTTACACGTATTCACCGCACAAAATTTAGTAAGAGTTTCAATACAGTTCACGAACGTTGGCTGTCACCAAGTGATCCCGGTCGGCTTAAAAGTAGAACAATACCGGAGCGGTTTTTGGTGGTGAAACAGTTCACAATAAACTGAGACGAAAACTATGGTGTAGGTTGAGCACCATACTTGGGTGGGCAAAAGGCGCATTTGTTTCAGCGATCGAACCGCGGACATATCACCTATTCCGAGTGCGGAATACCACATTCGGACACAGATACAAAGTGAGCTATCATTTTAAAGGGGCGATGATGTTGTGGTTGAAAGCACTGAACAACAGAGCACATAAAAAACTATTATCAATTGTGAGAAGGTTGCCCAATACTATCTGATGTCTTGCTGAAGCAATTACATGTGTTTCACTACGTGGAACAGTTGGAGATTCCCTAAACTTGCCAGGGGTTGCATGTTCGTACTTCATGGTGTGGTATGTAAAGAACACCATTCGGAAAGTCGGTCAAGTTGTCCGACACGAGAGTTTTCTTTCAGTCAGAGTATCCCCAGGTTGATTAGTTTGAGAGATTTTCACAAACCGGATGTATGGTTTGTGCTTAGAATAAAACCATGGCAATAAATTTTGTGTTGCAACTTACGGACCTTGATTTCTTTCCAGATGCGCACTGATATGAATAAATCTATCATGACAAAGCGTATTTCTCTTCTAATTTTGGACTAAATCGAATCAGGAAATACATCAATCGCAACTATTTGTCCTTTCCGGTTAGAGGCTTGTCAAGTCCAAGTGAAATATTTCTGGAAGTTTAAGATAAATAAATAAATAAGTAAGTAATAAGCAGAAGTTATCTGAGGGAAGCGTGCAAATAAACTGTTGAGCAATTTTGAAACGTTGGTTCCCCCGTTATCCAATTTGTTAGAACCGATAGAAGACAAATACTGCGAGATGTTAACATTTCTTTTAATCTCTTCAGTCGCTACAACGTAAAACAATCTGGTATTTATACAAGCAAGTTTTGATAATTACAGTGGTAAAACGGACAATAGTCAGGGAAGCGGGGGAGAGGGTGGGGGTGGGAAATCAGGTCCATGGCAGTCAGACTGATTGTGTGAGAAACGTTTGTGCGCACAAGATTGGGTTACGTAACTGGATTAGCATCGCCTCGCTAAACACCAAAATCCTGGGATTCAAGTTACGTAATAACGGCTTNGAGCGTCTACCTCAGACTCGCCTTTAAAGGTGATCATATAATGAACGACGTGCGTCAAAAGCTGAAGGCGGCACTGTGCCGAAAGTTTCCTGCCGCACAGGTTCGATTGATACCGTATACCCAAGAATTTCGTTTAGACAATCGAATACAGAACCAGCCGAACTATTCTGCTTCACATATCGCCTACTAGTTCACCTGCAGTTGCGGCAGAACGAATCGGCCCCTGGCACAGCGGATGTCTAAACACATTACCAAATGGTTGGTACAATCGATGACGCAATAATGTCTCAGAGGTCNATGTGTCCGGTTGCCATGAGATGTTTTGCGATTGATGAACCTAGATCTCTCTTATCAGTTTGTCCTCTAAGACTTTGTTGCGTCATCGATTGTACCAACCACTTGGGAATGTGTTCAGACATCCACTGTGCCAATCGCTTATTCGTTCTGCTGATGTAAGTTTCACCGCAACTGCAGGTGAACTGGTAGACGATATGTAAAGCGGAATTGTTCGGCTGGTTCTGTTTTCGATTGTCTAAACGAAGTCCTTGGGTATACAGTATCAATCGGAGCTGTGCGGCAGGAACCGTTCGACACAGTGCCGCCTTGAGCTTTTGACGCACGTCGTTCATTATATGATCACCTTTAAAGGCGAGTCTGAGGTAGACGCTCTTCTTCGGTTTTTCGCAACCGATCAACCGATGTCTGTCGTCTGCTATGCACATTAATAAATTTCTCTGGATAGCCGGTATCCAGTAGCTTCTCTCGTGAAAGATCTCTTCTTCTTGGGCAGTGTTAGGTGAGCAAATATTCCTGGCATGATGGAACAGAGTCTTCACCAGACCTCTTTTTTGAGCCCCAGGAGCGAAACTGATTAGTAAGTAAGTATTGTCCACTTCATGTAGTCTTCCGGTAGACAGATCTTTGCAAGGTTCCATATGTTCGCCTCCTGAGCAATTGTGAAAGCACATCAAACATAACTGCGCGATATACATGCTATCCAGTGGAAGATTATGAAGATTATGAAAAAACCGTTTCGTTTGAGATTTAAACCTGTTATACATTTATGATAAATTACACCCACAATGCACCGTATCAGATGCCTGGATATTTGAAGTTTTCCGCGGACTCAGAATTGGCCATTGCCCCATTGCTTATTATACACTCAGTCCAAAGTGCCCCTCGCATTAGTTCTGGAGCACAACCTATATTATCCTCATATAAAGACTTCACATAAAGTAATGCATCATTTTAACTAAATGGAAAAGATCACATAAGCAAACAGTAGCAACTAATTCCGTACACAAACACTAAAATCTCCCAGGGCATCTGTCTCAAATGTCCATAAAATCAGGAAATGGCTTTCGCAGCAAACAATTATAAACAATTTTGAACATGGCTAGCAATCATCTGAACCAATTGTTTGCTCAGCCAATACTTTCCTGAGAAAAGCAGCAATCGCCAATGTACAAAATCAATAATGTTCAGCTTCTCCATGAAGACCACAATATTAGTTACTTCTACGTGGCAGGCAACTAAGTCATCGTCTGTCAGAAAAAGTGAGAATATTTTGCATTTAGTTTTCATAAAAATATTATTTATGAATCACACAAGATCCATGGGTGAAACGGATCTCACTGGTGTGGTTCTCATGATTACTGAGGGAATTATCTTGTCTTAACCACGACCAACATCAACATCAACACCTTGTGTTTGAGCTTTTGGTTTTCGTGACCAAGACAAGATTATTCCCTCAATTGTTTATGAATAATTTTAATGTACACATTATTTGTAATGTAAAATCGTTAACCTCGAATGGATATGGTAGTGTCGATGAACTGTGTGATTAATTTTGAGTACCGTTTTGTAAACTGCGGTGTTAACATTTTCCGCCCAGAATACACGTCAGTCTTAGGTCGAGCATGGGAAATTTTGGTCTTGGCACTATGGTCAATTATCCCTGAGATTTTCCATTATTTTGAAACAAATTCTGCTAGTGAACAAATCCGAAAGATAAATCTTGCGATGCGATAATCGGGGTTTCTCATTTACACAGTGTGAATTTCAGCCTCATCATATTTGTACGATACAAGTCCACATATCTGACAAGTTCTCGGTTCTGACTAGTGGCAAAAGGAAACACCGAATTGCCCCTACCCGTATCGTCGCATTTCTCTCAGAATTGAAACCAATTACAGTAAATGCAATCTGAACCATAAGTTACTGCTAGTTAACAGGATTTCTTTTTTCCCGTAAACAGGTCAACAATTAAGTAAATTATCCAATCGTTGTAGGTCAGTGTTTGACTCGTTGCAAAATGTTGATCCGTCGCGTCGGTGCATCTAACAAACGTGACTTCGAGCCCAGTACAATCAAGGCGTAGTTCCAGACTGGTTCGAAAAAGACACCTTGAATTTTGCTACTTCAGTAGGGAACCTCATCGAAGTGTCCATTAGATCATTCACACTGAACTCGACAAGACAAGCTTTGTTTTGCCTGTCGCTCCACCGATTGTTATTTTCAATGCCAATCAGATAAGTTGACGCTTTAACCTCTCGACCAAAAGCTTCGGTAGTACACACTTCTAACAACCGTTTAATAACTTGTGGTTATTCACTACTGACGAACCACCGTTTGGATTGTTACTTCAGCATAGTAATTTGTGAGAAGCCATTGTATGAATGCAAGCATCGTACCTGTCACAACAAGTTCGTCTTTCGTATTACCTTGAAAGCCGAAGAGAAATAACCACAGATGGTGTGACTTAGCTCTTTATACGGAACGTACGTTCTAGATTGCAGACCGGGTAATCGAGCATCTAACGTGCGGTAGCTTTGCTTACATATAGGACAAGATATAGAAATTATTTCAATAAATTTCAGATTGTTTACTGAATGTCTCAAAAAGGAACGTATATATGTCTTGGGAACGAGGTTCATTATAGAATCCCACCGTACGACCATGCACAAGGCCCTGTGCTGATGGAAGACGAACAGACTCATCAAGCCACAATATCTGTAATAATAGAACTGTGCACTAAAACAGTCGGTTTTCAACCGTGTAGCTCGGGGACAAGCAATTCGGCTCAAACCTTCAAGGTTGGAATGACAGCAGAGTCAAAAACATCATCCATTGTGGACAAGTCTCATTTAAAGAAACAGTTTTCCAGTTGGTCGCACAATGCAGTGCTCAAAACTGCATTCATTGGGTATTGCGCACGGAAACGAATTTGATATATGGCGCGTTCTGTTGTCTGTGCGCGTTAACCACATTGCGGAACACCACGGAATGTACATTAGTTTGGGTAGTACTCAGATCCTTTGGTTTCTTCAAAAATACTGTGTCCAGGTTTAATCATTCGGGGTTTATTCACTACATATAACTCAATTCAATTAGTCTTTAATTGTCACATTTGAATGCGCAATTTCTGTAAATTACGTTTTATTCTACGTTCAATTCTGATTATTTCCCGAAAAATTCTTTTATTAAATTAAGCAAACATCCAATTCACGCCAAATGTTTTCGCTCTTCTCCACAACCCTTTTCAGGAGTCAGCCTTCCTCAGTTTGGGATTTCTCCGTCTGTTTCGTGCCGCACGCCTCATTAAATTGCTTCGTCAAGGGTACAGCATCCGGATTATTTTCTGGACTTTTGTGCAGTCAATTAAAGCGTTGCCTTATGTCTGTCTGTTGATCGCTATGCTGTTCTTCATCTACTGCATTATCGGTATGCAGGTAAGGCTGATGGACTCGATTCACCCAACTGACCAACGTTTAATTCTGTCTGCGTGCATAACTTTATTTGGTGATTCTTGTGACTGAGTGCGAATACTTGAATCAAAATTAATAACCTTTGTTGTTTTAGACGGACTAATATTCATGCGATATATTTAGACGTAAGTCAAGATATGGCACTCATTCCATCAGCAGTTGTATAACGCACTAGACTTTTGAAGCTAGGATTTAATAACACTACTTCGAATGGGATTAGTTGTTCAGTAAAGGAAAGACTTTTCATCTTTTCTTTAACAACCTTTTGCGATTACCAAAAACGAACAACATGAATTCATTAAACAGACTTGATTTATTCCAAGTGAAATAAACGTTTCATAACCTAAGTGAACTTAAAATGCCAATTATTAGTTACAATTTTGTTGCATCTTGCTCACCTATTCACTGTAAATATGTTTCATTCAATGACCCCAGCAAAATAATTGACCTGATCGGTGGAATAACTTCAATGAAGAAAAATTTCTCAGGCAATTAATGTGTAAGAAAATTGTATGACGCTGGGTAATCACATCAAAAGGGCATATTACGGTACCCGGTAAACTGCAAGTTGGTATTAATTCAAACGCCTCTCACATTGCATGAAGTTCTGCACCTATGGGCTTTCGAAATCGAATAAACCCCTTATCTTTTTTCAAATACTAACGGGCGTCTTATTTACATCAGATTATGTTGTTGAATAGAGAAATAAAAGCATTTGGCACAAATTGTAAGTTTGTGTTGTATTCAGAGGAAGGGCAAAACAGCGATGGCATATGCAAACAAGAAAACGATGAACCATAAGCAGATTAATCAAAAAAGCTGAAAATTAGTTATCTACCGATGGCAGTACTTAGGCTTCTATGTTTCCAACAGTTGAACAAATGTGGCCATATACCTCGGTTGATGAAATAACATTGTCTGAGAATGCTACTAAAGAGATGTCTTGCACTGAACAATCAGTTTCGCCACTTCACGATTTTTCCTGATACACATTGTCCGGCAATTTCAACATCATAGAGTCCCTCTTTGTTCCATCCATTTTGTTCCTACTCGCCATCTAGGTTTTCGGAAACATTCGTACTGATCCACATTCACAATTAAATAATCACAACAATTTCAAGTCGTTCAGTGAGGGACTACTACTTCTGTTTCGGTAAGTGTCACGTGATGAGTCACTTGACTAGTAAACTGCACCATTGTTTCATTTTAATATTGTTAGATCGTTTTGTGGCATTGGTAAATGCTTGATTACCTTTATTGAAGAAACAAGCTTCAAATTAAAAGAGGGCCCTGAGATCTAATTAAGAGTTAGTTGTGTTTTTGTTTTTGTTGTTGTTTTTGTTGGTTGTGGTGGTGGTGGTAAGATTCGATAACCCAATCTTTGAGTTGCTGTGCTGATGACCTAAAGCCCCCAGAAAAACAGCTTCACAAATGAGTGAGAATTTGGCTGTTTCCTTCCTGAAACGTGTGAATAAAACGAACAAAAAACTCATAGGATTCGCATCAGTTTAGACTGTGAAAGCGATGCGTATTTCGCATTTGCATCGCAGTCATCATTCCAATCCCCTGGGGTCTCTCAAAAATTCAATTCTTTTAATTTTTTTCCTTCAACCTACATATCAACAAAACAATCGTTGCTTTAGAGGTCTTTCCTCTGAATGGATCTGTTTATCAGTACCCTTGTGACGAATCGATCATTCACTAAACAGTTTGAATAAATTTTCTGTCCAGCCGAAACCGTTTTGAACCACAGTAGAGTGCCGCCTTTTTATTGTAGAAGAAAAACACAGTGCCATGGAAATTAGGTTTAATTTTGACATCAAAATTCCCCGCAAGGATGAGAATATTACGATTTTTTAAGGTTTTGAAAGCCGCTTGAAAGACCAGTCAGATGATTGTACACAATATCTAACCCGCCTTGATGCTACCGTGGTCACAAAGGCTATGGGAGCTTCAGATCTCACTAATTCTATATTTAACGGAGCTCAGGTATGCCGCAATAAATTCAGATAGATTATTCTTTGTCTGTGATGGAAATGAAACCCTACGCTAAAAAGACGTACACACACAATAGACTTTTATTCTCAAACATTAGTTTGAGAATTTTGACGGGAAAAGCGTTTGCTTTTGTTGTATAGATCAAACGCATTGCATCCTAATTACTTATATATTGAAGGACTTACTCGGTAGATTTGTTTTCAGTGCTTTGACGTGAACGACAGTGAAAGGGAGGCAATGAAATGTGGTGGCTGATTTTTATCACGAAAACAAGAAAGGCAAGTGCATGTTCTACCGCAAATTCAGTGACCAGTCTCAGAGACAAATAGGTAGAATTAAAAAGTTATCGAATTACGGTCGATAAAACTCATTCGGTTAGGCCATAGCGTGTTCAGTTGCGTTGCATCTATTGAGAAGAAGAAACCCCTCAATAGGTAAATTTTATCCCACACAAATTGAGAAGTTTGGTATTTCTGCCACCGTGATATTTCTATCAATTACTTGAATTGTCTCCCTTCATAGATAGATAGATAGATAGATAGATAGATAGATAGATAGATAGATAGATAGATAGATAGGTAGATGTATTGATTGTTCGATTGATTGATTGACTGATTGATTGGTAATGGTTATGAATTCCTTCCTATCGCACCTTGGTTCTCTGTTGAATTCAAACGTTGGCTCATGTGAGAATCTAGACTAATAGGGAGTAGAGCGNCCATAAAACTGTTCACGCTCACCTAACCAGCCATATTTTCTCTTCACCCACGCCCCACAGCTGTGCAACCGGGGAGAATTGGCAAGAAATCATGCTCGATTGTACCGCGGGGAAAGAGTGTGAGAGTGCCGGGGACACGTGCGGTAGCACATTCACCTATCCGTACTTTGTCACGTTCAATTTTCTATGCTCCTTCTTAATGCTCAATCTGTTCGTGGCGGTTATCATGGACAATTTTGATTATTTGACACGTGATTCGTCCATTTTGGGACCGCATCATCTGGACGAGTTTGTCCGCGTTTGGGCAGAGTATGATCCAGAAGCAAAGTGAGTTTGCGCTTCATTGAATATTGGAATAAATCTCATGATTAAAATAATCACATTTTCGAAAAAAATATTTTTAAAGTTGCAACTGAAATTTAATAATGATGGTTATGTGTTGCATTTAGTCGACGACTTACACTGGTCAGTTTCAAATCCGTATTTAATTGTGTATGGTATTTATTTTGGTTTCCGCCAGGTGACACCTTTTAGTGTTTGGTCAAATTTGAAAGGGCTAACGGTCTGGCATATCATTTATTTGAACGAGCTTGCATTTGTTATTCAGAACCAACTTGTTACTTACTTGCAAGCCGTGGGTTAATTCGTAACTGGAGCCATCAGCATTGCACATCTGACACGGTCAGTTGGACTTAAACCCGAGCACGAAGGGTTGGCAAAGCAGCGCGCCAATTTTGTGGACTATTCAAACTTGCCGTGAAAAACATTCCGGCATGACTGAATATCATATGAACTTCGCTGTTATTGGAAGGGGCGAACATTATCTGACGCTGTTCAAGATTGTGTTATGCCTGGTTGATGATTTCCATCAGTTATGAAAATGCACTACGGTAGTACCAATGTATTTCGGCAACCTACAAACCAATTAATCTGTATGCTAAGTGCAACGCAGAAATTATTGGAGTTTTCAAACTATCTCAAATAAACTTCAGTCGAATATGATAGTGAACACGATAGCAACTGCCGATTAGTTTTCCGTTAAGGACAAAAGTAAGGCGTTTAATTTGTCAACTTTCGACCTAATCTGTTTCATCTTCTTGATCCACTTTATTTACTTCTATGTATTCATACGATATTTTGTTAAAGCTATTACCACACAGGTTAATATGGCGATTCAAAAATAAATTTTTCAGTCCAATGCAACGCATTAGCAAGCATCGTTCACGAAGGCTTTTGCTGATGCAGTTTCTCGAATCCCTCAGATAACCGACTTTTGTTCACTAAACCGTTGCGTAGGATGGTTTGCATTTATACTGATGTTGGCAGAGAGGAAATCACACATACGACAGTGCATTTTTAATTGTTCCCACAACTGCCTCGTTATCCGTGTGTTGAAATATACACATGGAGGTCAAAGTAATGCAGCCGTATTTACAGTTGCGTGGATGAACATGGATAATGTGTAATAATTAAATTAAGATTGTTTTGCATTTTTCATTTGGGTCAGAATAACTTAAACATTACAATGCGGCGAACCGTTCGACTAATTTGTTTTGAGGGATCTTATCAGTATCGGTTCAGCCGAAAGCATTATTGTGGGGGTGGTGGCAGTCGTTGTCGTTTTGTAAGGTACTACATACAGTTGTGAGTAGTATGCAAAAGGATGAGTTGGCGGTTTCTTTCAATGGTCAAAAATGAACAGGACCTTTTAAAGTGAATTTCTGTGTTCAAACTGATAGCTACAGTCTCTTTAATTCATTATTCTGTTTGCTGCCAGCACGTGTGATGGCATGTTTAAAATGAGATCTTGTTATATTTACACCAACTGATCCATAACTTAACTCCAGTTCGTCATAAACAGTTATCCTTGAGCCAGCATCAATCTTCTGGAATTATAACAGTGAAACTAACTTTCATGGACTGTCTACTTATAATAGGGATGCAATCCCTAAATGTGTGAACAGTTGATCGTGCAAGTGATATGTGTTCAATTCCATAGCAATGTTTAAGCACCAAGTTCCCAATTTCCCGAATTCTGCATTATAGAGAATCAATGCTTGCGACCGGTTCTCATGTTCTAACTAATTTATCAGCTGTAAATTCAATGATTGAAATGTACACACTAATGAACAGCACCCACACTCTGGTCTCATCTGTGACTTACCCACATTGATATATCAAACGGAAAATGGGGCTGCATAGGCTTGGAAACCGAAAAAATAAAATCATTTCATCTTTTGAAAAAGCTGTTTATTTACGCGTAAAACAATCTTTTTCTCGCATTACAGGGGACTGATTCACCACAAGGATATGTACGAGATGTTGCGCAATATGGAACCACCAGTTGGATTTGGCAAAAATTGTCCATGTCGTTTGGCGTATCGAGTAAGTGCTAAGTGATTTGCACAGGTCGTCGTTCGTAAAAGAGAAGAGGATGTTGATTTTACCTTACTACTAAATCATGTAAAGGTGGTGATTACGAGATAACTCAGTTAATTGAACTCAAAGGAACACAATATATTTCGCGTTCGACGATTGAACAGGTATACTCGTTAAGTCCTCCCGTACCCCGAAGAGTGAAAAGCTCTCACAGTGTGGGGATGTTTTGTGGACCTCCATAACTGGCTGTTTTCACTATTCCGAGACATCTCGATTCATTTGAGAAACTCTTTTATATGCAGTCTTGACAGGTGGTAGTTTGAGACAAACATATCTTATTAGGTTAAGGCCATTTGACCACAGAGGAAGTTTGCATCTTAGCAATCCTAGCGCCTGTAATTAACTTCGTGCAACGTCATACTTGTTAACTGTTACGCTTCCAGTGTGCCAAGTTCACTCGTTTGATAGACTGTAATCTCTATTTCCGTCCCTCTACGAGCTTCATTTTCACAGTCTGACAAAATGGTTTCATTTCGGTCTGTCGAACAAAGCCATATAGTGTTTCGTATCATGTAATACGACATGAATTCCTTTATTTGAATGGTCAACGTAGATCAAACCTTCGGGTCCAACCGTACGTATATCCTCCTTTTTTTGTTATATACTGTCGGATTTGTTTCACCCTAGTTCTTCATGTATGCGGTTGCTTTCAATGCAAATTCAAATAGTAATGTATCAGTTCGCTGCTATTTGAAGTGGATTGGGTGTAATGAGTATGTTGGGATAAGTTGCTATGGTCCCCAGCGCAAAACGTTCAGTAGAATAAGACCAAATACTGACATTCAAATTTCAAATTTTTATTATGGGATATAACTTACAAAGACTTCGCTTTTTCAAATCCCATAGGGTGTTTACACTTTGGTTCGGAACACGATTCACAATGTCACACACAGTACATTCATGAAATTACAGTAGTAAGGTAATGTTTTTTACGTGCACAGGAGAATATATTATGTAGTTGGGTGTTGAAAAGCAATGATTGCCAGTGCATCATCAAGCTGACGCTTGAAAGATGCTAATGTCGGGGCACAGACCACGTGAGGGGGTAGAAAGTTCCATGTGCTGCACACTCTGA